GCTAGTAGGCCGGATATCATGTTTAGCGTATGCCTTTGCGCGAGGTATCAATCATGTCCGAAGGAATCGCACTTAACCGCGGTGAAACGGATCATGAAATACCTTGTCGGCACGGTCAACGTTGGACTGTGGTATCCAAAAGGCTCTTCGTGTCTTCTCGTTGGCTACTCCGACTCGGACTTTGCCGGTTGCAAATTGGACCGCAAAAGTACAAGTGGGACTTGCCACTTACTTGGTAGTTCTTTAGTTTCATGGTTTAGCATGAAACAAGTCAGTGTTGCGTTATCCACAACCGAAGCGGAATACGTTGCCGCCGGTAGTTGTTGTGCTCAAATCCTTTGGATGAAGCAACAACTCGTGGACTATGGCCTTAGTATCAGTCACGTTCCTCTTCGTTGTGACAATACTAGCGCCATTAGCTTGACGAAGAACCCCGTTCTTCATTCAAGGATGAAACACATTGACATTAGGCACCATTTCATTAGAGATCATGTTCTCAAAGGTGATGTCGAAATTGAGTTTGTTGAAACACACAACCAATTAGCTGACATTTTCACAAAACCTTTAGAGAAAGAGTCGTTCTTCCGCATTCATAGCGAACTCGGAATCCTTGACTCCACGATGATCTAATTTGTGCATTTTATCATTCTTTTATTGTTACTGGAACGTTTACTAACTTGAGCGTCGGAGGGTTTTCTAACTCTTTTTTGCAGGGACGGTTCGAAGAGAAGAATTCTAGAAATCAGGGGGAACCAGCGATGGGTAGGCCATACCATCGCTGGGAGGGAAGTTTTTTTTCCAGAACCCCTCTTCCCATCGATGGGTGCTTCTTCCCATCGATAGGTAATTGACTCTAGTTTTTTTTAAAAATACTTAACGGATTTCCAGAACACCCTAACCCATCGATGGGTACTTTGTCCCATCGCTGGGTGAAGGACTTTTATCAAAAGAATTTTTTTCAGAACCTCCCATCCCATCGATGGTAACTTTCTCCCATCGATGGGTGTGTTTGACCATCGGGAAGGCAACCCTCTTTTCTCCTTCGCTTTCCAGTGGCGACCTTCCCATCGATGGGAAAATCTACCCATCGCTGGGAAGGCTGGTGCATTTCAAAAATTCAGAGCCGTTGGGCACCACATTAATTGCCCAACAGCCATATTTTTGAATCCAAACGGCCAAATCTTCCCTTCCCTATATATACTCACCATATTTGCTCTTTCTAATACACCATTAACATCATAATTTTACTCCTTGATCCAAATCTCAATATTTCATCTCTCTTCTTCATAAGCGTCTCAGCAATGGCCGGTGGAAAATCCAAGAGCAAGGCCTCGAAGAAGAAGACCGCTGCCGAGGCTACGAGCTCTGCACCTCAACCCTTCCCATACCTCGACGGGTCCTTCTTGGAGTTCGGGTCGGAAGAGGAACTCTCTCGTTTCATCACCTATTTCGCCAAGCGCCCCATCTCTCCGCCAAGGGTGCTACCCGAGCTATACCCTCAACAAAAGGGGTACCACGACCTTGACAATCAACTCAAGGAGTCGGGTCTGTGGCCCTTCGTCTCCCGCAGTCGCACCTCCTTCAATCCCGCCTACGTTCGGGCTTTCTACTCCAATCTCCGCCGGGACGGGGACACTATTCGCAGCAGCATCAATCTCGTGGACTTCGAGTTTGATTTGGCTATCTTTGCCCGGATCGCAGGTTTGCCCACTCGCGGTGACGACATCGCGACTTATGGTGGCGATGATTGGATCCTCAACAACGAGGCGGTGGTCATCCGAGAGCTGGGAATCACCAACCTCGTCCGTCACAGCGGCGCACCAACCATTCACTCAGCCCCGCCGGAGAAGCGCCTTCTACTCTACATCCTCACCCGGATTCTTCGCCCCCGGGACGGCAGCCACACTTGTCTCTTCAACGAGGATCTCAAGGCCGTTCATGCAATCACCCATGGCGCCTCGATCAATTGGGCGAAATACGTCATGATCCACATGGCGGATTGCGCCTCAATCGCCACCGAAAGGAGCTTGCCCTACGCCTTCCTCGTCATGGATCTCATTGTCGCGGCCGAAATCCACATCGCCGGCCCG